AATACCCAGATAGCCCTTGTCAGAAAAAAGGTTCCTCTGTCTTAAGACAATTTACGTATAAAAATTCTCACATTGTTTTAGGTTTTACCCTAAATTGAAAATACAAGTATAAATGTACACCTATCATTGTTTCACTAAAATATTAAGATTTGTTTAGTAAATCATATTTGATGTATGACTAAAGGCACTCAGGAAGTTCACTATCTCTAGATGTATATTTTTACATCAGAAAATCAGTATTTGTTTAATTTCCCTTTTGTCAAGGAAAAGTTGTCAGTGCTTAGTCTGATAAGATGGTAAAATGTTTTACTGGGAAGACTCATGAAGCTTTTTGCTTCTGCCACTCAAACGCTAAAAAATGCTAACATTTCCACAAAGGCCAGGGCATGTATGTGTGTAAGAATACATTTTAATAGATGATACAGGTTGCTTTTTTTGTCTGAGCATTTGAAAAAAACTTAGTCTTAAACATTTCCTGATTAAAGAAAATTTAAAGTCTTGTTTTAACAAAGCTTCTATGTATCAAGATGATACTATTTCCATTTCCTTATGGAATATAGACTTGTTTATAAAAATGTATTCCTTGAAAACTGGCTCCTTTTTAATATGACATTTGTATTATGTTGCTTTTTAATATATTTAAAAATTAAATGTGCAAAGGAAAGTTATGTCTCATTTTTAAAATCATTAACAGTGACATTTTAGACAGAAAGTCGGATTTCTTTTCAGTGATCTGGCTCACAACAGTCCTATTATTTATACAACGGAACAGAACATTGCCAAGTCTTGCACCGTCGTAAGTCACTTCTGTGTTGAATATAACCCACCGCATTGACGGCCTTCCTCCGTTTCTGCCTTCTCAAGCGTGAGGGCTTCTAGTGACTTCCCTGCTGATAACACATCCGAAACACCAGAGACCAATCTCCCTATCCTCACAGCTACGAAGCATTCTGCTTCCAGAACATTTGTTCAATAGCTATGGTATACTCCATATTTGGCAACACCATAACTCAACACAAAACCAATGATTGTCCAGGTTTTGTGTGCCAATGAGGCGCATGAGGATAAGAGTTAACCCACAGACTGGAAAGCACATTTAGCAATGACAAAGGGCTAATTTCAGAGCCCTAAAACTAGACCCCACCTTAATATGAAAAATACACATAACCCAATCCAAAATGGGCACAAGACCTGGCTAGACAGTTTACTAGAGATGACATCCAGGTGACCTAAAATCAAAATGAAATGTTCTTGCTCATTAGAGAAATACGTGAGGTAACACTTCACATCAAGTAAAATTCTCCAAGTGCTGAAGAGGGTGTGGAGAGCGGATCACTTGCTGGTAGGATGGCAGAATGGTACAACCTCTTTGGGAAGCAATACAGCACTTCCTTAAGATGCAAATACAAGTACCTCATGATCCTACAATCTCCTTGGTATGGACCCTGAAGAAACGAACAAAACGTAGACATACACATCTGCTAATTGCAGCAATTTCTATCAGCAAAAAATTAAAAACTAGAGAAATGAATACATTGGCACATTCATACAATGGAATGTTGTGCATCCTTAAAAACCAATACACCATGCAGAAGAAGAATGCTTGGAAACCGGTAAGATTCTACTTGACATGATTAAATTATGGAATGATATACATATTAAATCCCAACTAATAAGTGTCAAGGAATTTAAGACATGAACAAAATTAGA